ACGTGTTTATAGCTATGATAGGTGACGTCCTATTATATTAGTTTCACTATGAGTTATCAATTTTACCCCCATCAAATTCATGGCCAGACTTTGACAAATCCAAATTCCAAGATGATATAGATATACATATATATGTTATCATATATATAAGTCTAACTTCCCTTAATAACAAACAATACATTGATTAAAATTAAAACATGATTCAATAATTTATTACATTATTATATTAAACAATATATTTGTAGACGTAAACAAAACTATAGGATTAAGGAAGAACACAACGAACCTTGGAAGTTTGCTGTCATACAAGCTCAACGATTATATTGACATTTACGACTTGTAGCCCGAGATATCTCTTTATTATCATTAAGAAATGTAGCATACTTCTCCTTAGCATGTTGGTGTCTAAGTCCCCCGTGTCCAAGTTCTTGATATCTGAAAATCATCGTATTATTACTTATTATCTCTTGTACATTATCCACCTCACTGGATGGAAAACGATGCAGTGACAAAAGGGATGACCACAAATTGAGATGCTCTCCTCTACAAATCTTGATAATTATTAAACAGTATATATTAATTCTAATAATTGAATGTTGACACATAGAAATCATCCTATTATAACTTAAATTAATAAGCTACTTATACAGGAGTTGCTGACATTTCCCTTGGATATATAGAGACTGAACCACCACATACCTTTATCTTAGGAGTCGATGGGGTGAACTGTAGTTCCTTATGATGGCCAGCATCGAGCTTGGAGAAACACTACCACCCGCTGGGGAACCTGTGAAGTGAGGCATGTACAACAAGACCACACGTGTTCCCTGTGTGCATGCCACACTGGCATGGGATTAGCTCCTCCGCTTTCCTATTGTGCCACGGTCGCTTCACGGTGGCTATGCAATCCGTTTTTCTCTCTCCTCCATACCTTTCTCACTGACACCACTGAGCCGGAGAAGCTCGTTTTTCTGTCTCCCGTGACTCTGGCTACAGTGTCGCTACAGCGTAGGAGGAGCCGGAGCACGCGGGAGCCCGGCCAAACGGGCCCACATAGATATAGCCATCTCGTGCGGCGGAGGGGAGGGGAGACAGACGCGGGTGATACAAGTTTCCTGCATAGACGGTGGGGCGGGGTGGGCGGATAGGAAATTTGATGGTGAAAAAGAGAGAGAGGAGAGTGCGGTTCAAGAGAGAAACACGCGTAAACGTTTACAAGTTTACAGTCTGAGTCCACTTGTAAGATCACGGTGGTTGACTTAGATGCGTTGGATCTATTTTTAAAGTAGATCTAAGGGACAAGAATTAAGGTAGGTACAAAACACTAATGTGAGAGGCTATTTTCAATTCCTTCGCTCTTTTATAGTATAGATAGATTATTAATAAAAATGCTAAAAATAAAAGGTCCCAAACAAAATAGGTATTTGGCTGTTTTTAAATTATTACAATATAAAAATTGTTAGTATTGTATTTTCCAATGTGGTGTTAGAAGATCGTTTTTTAGTTAATATCACATAAGACGATCAGAATCAAAAGAACATCTTAATTTTTAAGGATACCCCATAAACTTTTCCATGTGGGTTTGTTTGAAGCCATGTAAGGTGATGAACAGCCCGGGCCTTGCGTTGATGGGAGTAAGGGTATGTGCCCACCTGCCAGTGGGCATAGGTGAGTGAGATGACAAGAACCTCAGAAAAAAAAAAACTGCACTCCTTGTACTTGTACATGTGGCTTCTCTTTCTTGGCTGGGCTGCTGTCGCAGAACATGGCAAGGCACACCGGCAAACCGATAGCTGGGGCGTTGTTGTTCAGCAACATGTTTGTCACTTGTCAGCAAATGGCTGTTGCCTCTGCAAGCTGGCTATTAGCTCTAATAATTGCAACCGCTATTATTATCCACATCAGCATGGAGGGTCAGTGATGGATCGGTTGTTCATGTGGGCTGCAGGGATGGTGCAGTATCGCGCAGCGACCAGCGTGGCGTGCCGACGGAGCCAACCTCACCTCCGGTGCTCCAGAGCTCCTGTGGCCATCTGAAACGAATGTGTACATAATTCTATCGCCGCACTCCACTGAATTCAATCCGGTCCGTGCCCGGGCCCAACCAAGCCTGCTGCTCGATTTAGGCAGGCAGGCAGCTGGAGTGCAAGCCACGGGCGTCCGTACGATGCCGGTTTTCCGTGGCGACGGCGTGCCGTCCGGCATCAAGAAACCGCGGGCGCGCACGGGACGGAACGTGTGTGGGGTGGGGTGGGGTGGGGGAATGGAACGCGAAAGCGAACGCGCACCGCACCGCACCGCATGTTTTGCTTCGGGCGCACGTACGTTCGTAGACGCGCGACCGGCGCGGCGGCGAATGCGTATGCTTCACGCCTCGGCCATCTCAATTCCAGTTACGCCCACGGGCCACGGGCCAGGGCCCCGGCGGCCGGACAACGGCACTGCCGTCTGCCATGCGTCGGCGCCGGTTTCTGGATTCGTACGTGCGAGTGCGACGGATGCGGCGGGGAAGAAGTTGACGTCGCGCGGTGCACGCTTTTGGAGTGGCGCCTGCGATTGTGAGTAGCAATGGCCGATGGGCAAACGGAGGCATGCCATGGCCCATGAGTGAGCAAGCTTGGTGATGTTGACTCTATAACTAACATAAACCTAAATAAAATCTATAAATAAGTTATACATGATCCAATAAATATGAAATTTTTACTACAATTTAAGCATACAATAATTAGCTCATCATAAAAATTTCACCACAATTGAACCATAGTAAAGAGAGAGCTGAATTATTCCTTTAAAATATGGATCGCTCCAACAAAAAACTTTGTACTAAAGCATATCATATTATATGTTCACTGTGTAGATCTACTCATGTGGAGTCCAACAAAATTGAATTTTCTATTTTATGATTTTTTTGTGATTTACTATGATTTTTCAAAGATTCAGTCAAAATAAATAAAAAAGAAAAAAGACAAAATCACCTTCAAAACCGCTTATAACCGGGCTAGGAGGTAAGTTGAACGGTTTTAAAAGTTGAGGGAGGTGTTTTACCCGTTTTTAGAGTTCCCAAAGGAAAAGTGGACTTTCGTGAAAGTCGAGTGAGATACTGTGGACTTTTTTCTAGTTTGGGTCCCTATTGGGCTATAGCGGTCTTTTGGGCCTTTACGAATTTATTTGGGAGGACTCGTGCGCGATTTCTTGAGAGCTTGCAGCCGGGCTCTGAGGGGGCCTATCTTCATCAGGGCCGCGTTCTTGCTGTTACCTAAGGCCTCTTTTTAGATGGCTCGTTTTAGAAGTTGTAGGCCTGGAGTACTGTTAGGAATTGCAGCTAGGCCTATAAAGAAGAAGGAATAAGAATGTTCTTTCACGGCCTAGCTGGCCCAAAAGAGTTTTCTGTAAACATGGCCTTTCCGGCAACTGCAACTATGCAAGTTTCATGCCAAATGTTTTTCTGCCATGGAATTTGAATTGCTCGTTACTTATGCTACGATCTTGTTATCATCTTATGATAACAAAGCTTGATCCACCTGAATGGATGAAATGCGGCTTTTGATCTCCTTCCTGGACAGTGGGCACGGTAAGCACACAGAAACCCTTTTACCGTCATAATACTCGGCAGCCGCCTAAAATAACCGCAGGAATACATACGGACTTGTGGAGTCAGTGGGATCATCACGTCGAAGGCTACCTGCTCCACTTTTTCATTGGCGTGATAGGAGTACGAGGCAGGAGAAGAGCAATATGCTCAGGTGAGAAGAGCATGTCAGTTGATAGAACATCGCAGTGGACCTGTGGGTGGTGATCTCCTCGAGTCACCTATCATCATTATTCTCTCTGATTCGTGATTTGGAATGCTTTTTTTAGGGATGTGATTTGGAATGTTGGATAAGGATTGCTGATGCAAGCAGGCTGCATCATCCGTTGACACTGATTGTTGGATAAGGCAACCTGAAGCAGAGTAACGAGAGAGAGAAAAAACAGGAGGAAGTTCTGAAACAGAGAGACAGAGGATGGTTCATCCGCGGCTCGGTGTTTCGTCGAGGGGGTACCGTACGTCCGTACCATTCTTGCTGAAGCCTGAAGAAGCATGTGCATTTTCTGAAGCATATTACTAGTCAAAGCCAAACATTTCATTGACTTCAAACGGAAGGAAAACTATTGGGAGTCTTTCACTTACACGCTGCAAAAAGTTAGTTAATTTGGAACGGACCTCGCGCAATAAGAGCCATTTACGCGGACCAATATGTACACTTCTGGTTCTCGAATCAAAGTTGACCTTCTGTACTTCGCAGGAAGAATTCCAACATTGAATCTTAAAAAAAAAGAAAAAACGAAAGGGAATTCCAATATCACGCGGAGTACCTCTTGGCAGTTATAGTTGACCCAACTACCTCCTTCGTGACCGGCAACTGCCACACAACGTCCAGGAACTCCGAAGGCCAACAAGTCAGAGTATCATCGCAGCACACGCTGACACCTCTCTTTTGTTTTATTTTGGGAGATGGTACTAGGCGCCAGGCGGACACATCGGTTATTCTCGGCCTTGTATAGATCACCTCTAAATTTCAAATTTTTTCATAGTCTTTTTATCACATCAATTTTTTCGTGGGGATTAAATTTTGGGAGATGGTACTGGTTAGTCTATGATCGCCAGGCGGACACATCGGTTATTCTCGTGCAAGATCAAATCACAAACTCCATGGGATTGAAATGACAGCTAGTAGTACGTACTCAACGACATCAACTTGCCGATGATTCTGAATCGTGAGCGTCTCCCAGCGTGGTGTGCACACCAAGCACGCACTCCACTCCAGCAAACACATCAACATTGCCACCCAGCACTAGCAGACGTGCTGCCCTCTATAGATCTCTGCTGCAGCTCCAAGACCTTCCGATCTGGCAATTTTTTCGCAGGCACGGTGCTGTAGCCGACCCTCGGATCGGAACACCGTAGGCCCATGGAAAAAAATTTTCTTGCTTGGCAAAATTTTCCGTTTCTGGCGGAGATGTCCATGTGCCGCATCGCTGTGCAGTGTCGCCACACGATCCAGTTCCAGCAGCCCGCCCATCCCCACATCCGCCTCACTGCATGTGCCAGGCAGGTAGGCGGCTGTATTTCATTCTTTTTATTATTCGATCTGCCACCAAAAGGAAAGGAAAAATGCGGTTGCATTGCATGGATCGCAGTCGGCAGAGGAAGGGGAGACGGCGAGACGCAGGACGCATCGGTTTCCTTTCCTTGGAGCAGGTGGTGGACAGGTGGTGCCGGCCACGTCTTGTAGCGTGATCGCGTCACTTGGCACTCATGGCGTTCGATCTGGGCCTCTAGCCCTCTCTCCCTCCCCAGGCAGCGGGGCCCAGCCAACCGCCTGCTCCACTCCACTAGGCAAGGCAAGTTTGCGTCTGAATCCTCCTCGAGTGCGTTCAGCTCTTTGCACTTGTTGGTTTTTAATCCGAGCAACAACGCTGGGTTTAAAAGATGTGACGAAATAGCTTTGTATGGCTGATTGAGCACAAACACATTCTACAACTACAAAGCAGACTGCAGGTCTTAGAATTTTTTTTTTTGTTGATCTGGAAGATTGATGCTTTGACTACCGCTTGCCACTACACTAATTTAGAAGGACAAAAAAGCGCCCTGATGATCTGCCAACATCCTGGCTGCATGCATTGCGTTCTCAGAGCAAATTACATTGATGAAGATCAAGCATTCAAGCGTCAAACTTCCATGGCATAGAACTTGGAAGACTGCTACCGACTACCAAATGCCACCACACTAATTTAGAAGGACAAAAAAAAACCACTCCATCCTTCATGCCAACATCCTGGCGCATGACATTGATGGATCGCAAACAAAATTACATTGCAGAAACTGAAGATCAAGCATTCAAGCGTCAAACTTCCTCTCTCCTTTTTTTTAAAAAAAAATTCCTTCCAGAGACCAAAGCATGAAACTTGAGCACATGGCTAGCTGCCTCGCAACTGACCAGAGTTCCTAGGACACAAGAATATTCCTCGTAACTCATTTGTAACGGAGGAGGAGCTTTGGGGCCTCGGCCACATGGCTGCCTAGCTAGAAAAACTCAAGCACACACACATATGCCAAAAGGGAGCAGTTTGGACTTCCCACGATCTTCATCACAACCCTCGCGTTTTTGCATAACCCCCCTCGCCTCACTCACCGCTTCCCCAACCCGCCCTCCCCTCCTCGTTTCTCTCGATCTCTCCAGCTCCCCCTCCCCCCCCCTTCAACTTGTCTACAAAACCGCCAGCCGCAGCCGCCGGCCCGCTTGCTCCCAAGGAGGCACTCGCCGCCGCTCCTGACGCCCTCGAGACGCCTCCTTCCTGAGGAGCCAACTGCCTTGGCCGCTTCCTTCCCCTTGCCCCGCCGCGCCGAGGAGCGGGCCAAAATTGGCGTGCCTTCTTCCGCACCGCCTCGTCGATTCGAGCCGTTCCCCGCTTCGGGCAGGCAGGGTACCGATCCGGCGCCGGCCGGTGCGGAGGCGCGAGGCTGAGGCGTGATGTGCGGATCGGAGCATGGACGTGATCGCGTCTCCGCCCAGTAGAAGCTGTTGCGGCCTGCGGGTGCCGGCGTGGGAGGAGGGGTGGTGGTTGTTGCTCGTGCTGCTGCCGCGGACTTGACGATGTACATAGCGCGGGAGACTTCCAAGGTCGTCTTCGCCCTCGATTCGATTCCGGAGGCGGCTTTGCTAGTACCGCTTGTTGGTGCATGGTTTTCGTTGATCGAGCGAGCTGTGGGGATTTATGGGGGTCTTTTTTTGGGCTGTGTATGTAGGTATGGAGGAAGGTGACCACAGAGGTATCGGTGGAGCTGCAGCTCCTGCGCGACAAGTGGGGGCTCCTACTCACCGGTCTGGTTTTTCAGGTGAGCTGCTGCGCAAGTTTATTTTGCCCTAGATTCTGGTCGCTGGTGGAATTATTAATTTCGTGCGTGCTCTGTTGTTATTATTCGTTTGTACTGTCTGGAGTTCTGAATTATTAAGCCTTATTAATATACTACTTAACATAACAGGTTCCTTCTCATGCATTATAGTATATATAATTGTTGCTATTTTTTGCTTCTTAATTTGAGGGTATTTTTTTCCATATCGGGAGTGTTCATTTTTTTGTTGGCATGATCGTGTCTACTTGAACCAATGTGCTATATTGTTAAGGATTGTTCGTGTGATTTCTATTCTTAGATTGGGCTGCATTCTGTAAGGTTGTTTTCATATAGGGACTACAAGAGAGGAAATTAGATGTCAATATTGCTCCGTATCAGTATACACATTTTCCCCTGAAGGAAAGATATCTTGAAACATTTTGCCTTTCTAGTTGATCTATTTGATTGCTAAAAATCTTATGGGCTTCCAAGGTATTAGTAGCATATATATATGCATGTTAATATACCAGAAAATGGTATGGCTAAAAATTGAGTGGTTAAGCACTTTATTCAAGTCTTTGTCGGGCACTATATTGTGTTGTGGAGCCAAATTGTCACAATGGAATCACACCTATACTTTCCCTGCATTGGTGTATCTGCACTTGTCTTCCTTTTGTGGACATGTTAAATCTGTCCGTTTTGTAATTATTTGCTAATATTAACTTTTGTGCTCTTTTTGCTGACATGTGTTTGTTTTATTGTAGCACACCAGCACTAATTTAGATTTTCCTTTTGCCTCAGAAGCCATCAAGTTTCGAATGAAAAAAAAATAGTCTTGCTCTATGTATTGCGAATATATCCTTGGCCTTAATCTATTATTGGAATGCATTAGTCAAACTCGCCTTCAGTCTAGTGATGTTGTACTTCTGTATCAACAAACTGCATAAGTAATTAAGTATATGATAATCTATCACTACCTTCTATGACCCTGATTAAGCATTGCGTATCTCTTAGCACCCCAATTTTTGTTGCCAGTTTAACATTGGTTATCGATGATCCAAGGATTTGATAGCTGCTGTTTTACACATTACTGAAAATAGCGTTCGCCAAATCTCACCAAGCGATGTTGTTCTTGACTTCTGCTGTTTCACAACCGACAATCAAAGCCCAAATGACTAGCATGGTTATAAACACAGGGTGATTATTACTTTACTTCGTGAGCAAATAATGCATTTTTATTGTTAATTATTTTAACCTAAAACTCTGCAGTTTGTCTTTTCCTGATATGATGATGAAAGTTTTCTATTCTTCACTTTTTGTTTGTGTGTATTTAGCTATCTAGGATTACTTATTCAGCTATGTTTCTCAGTTGATTAATGGATTACTGTGGAGATTCATATACAATGATTTTGCCTATAAATAGTATATTCATGGATTGGCTACTCGAGGAGTGCATTATTTGCATCGACCTGGACCACTGCTCCAGGACTTGGGATTTATGGCCCTTCCAGTAAGTGAATTGCTTTATTTCTTTTTCTATCAGTTAGAGTGTAGTTAGTAGAAACTCACTAACCAGTTTGGCACTATTGAATCTTTTTATTAGGAGCTCGGGCAAGACAAAGGTTATCTTAGTGAGAGTATATTTTCTTCCATCTTCATCTCCTTTGTGTTGGTAGGTAACTCTTGCTGTTTTTCTACTTGATTGCTCCTGTTAGTCTTTTACTCTTGCTGTTCTCGTGTGTTTGTTCTTTCTCACCTGTTAAGATAATGGTTCAAACTAAATATGAACTGAAAAGCCAAACACTGGTGGCATGTTGTATGGGCTAAAAGTTAGCACTGAGATTAATCTTGTTTTACATAAGGATTACACAGTTGATTGTTGTCATGATTGCTTTAAATGAAACCTGATTGTATTCCATTAGTGTGGTCCTCCAGTGTATATCTGGTAATTCGGTCTTTTGGGTAATGGATCAAAGTCAACTTATCACATTGAAATTTCTTTTTTATTTGGTTGCCATTTCTTGAGTTTAACATCTTTAATAATACCAGTAAAACTCAAGAATATATCATAAAAATGTTTGCTGAAAACATTAACTAACTGTTGTTCATAGTATCATTCTGTTTGACATTCTTTTGATCACGACATCTATAATTCTTCCTTTCTTTTCGGCATTCTCTGTGACTTGAACCATCTATACCTTATCAAGCTTGATCTTACAACGTGATTATCTTTATGTGCAGTGGACTTTCCATCCTTTTATTTATCACAGCAAACGTTTCTATACAGTGCTAATCTGGCGCAGGGTGCTTGCTTTTTTAGTTGTAAGTATAAGTATAGTGTTCCTAGTTTTCATCTATATGTTTCATATGTTTGCCCTGAAGTACTTACTGTATTTCATATTCTTTTTATCCAGGCTTCACAATTTTTAAGGATTATTACATTCTATTCGACCCAGCTCCCAGGTCCAAATTATCATTGTCGTGAGGTAACCTTTTCGTTTGATATTATGCTCTGTTCTGGATTGCAGCTTGTGAACACATACCACACTGTCATATATGAAGTTATATGACATTGTCTCTGTAGGGCTCAAAACTGGCAACTCTTCCACCACCCAATAGTGTACTTGAAGTACTCCTGATTAACTGTAAGTCTCTTTTGTTCGTCGGCAGATTCTGTATCGAATTCTATCTGATCAACCAGCAATTTGAATCGCCCTTTGCAGTTCCTCGTGGAGTACTTTTTGGTTGTGGTGATTTGATATTTTCATCTCACATGATTTTCACCCTGGTTTTCGTTCGAACTTACCATAAATATGGTTCGAAAAGGTAATTATGTTTTACACCTATCTTTTTGTTTGAACCCTATCAAGTTCTTACTGTCTCCTGTGGTTATTCCTGAAATGAAGCTGAACTGTGTATATTGTATTCAGGTTTATTAAGTTCCTTGCTTGGTTCATGGCTATAATTCAGAGTCTCCTTATAATTGCTTCTCGCAAGCACTACTCCGTTGATGTTGTTGTTGCGTGGTATGCTAACTTCTGTCTCACTTCTCTGTTCTTTGAGTACTGCTATGCTGTTAAACTGTTTTTTCATAATGCAGGTATACCGTAAACTTAGTAGTATTCTTTGTTGACAACAAGCTGCCAGGTTCTGGTTTATGTCATATTAGGACTTATGATTTATGCGCACCTTTGGTAGGTATACTATTTTAACAGGGCTTGCTGACATTTCTGCAGAAATGCCGGATCGGACGAGCGGGCTACCTTTGCTTCCATTAAGCTCCAAAGAAAAATTGGCCAGGCAGAAGGAGGAGAAAGACAGTAAACTGAAGGATGAGTTCCACAAGTTACTGAACGGGAACCATGTGGATCCTACTGATCGGGTAATGTATACTAACAACTCTTTACCAGGCAACCCTACTCATCCTATCTGGATCTGCATAGCCATCTCTGTCACAACTGCATTAGACTGCTAATTGTTGAACTTTGTTTGATCACTAATAACCTTTTTCAAGGATCTATCTATTAGTCTAATTACTTCCAAACCTCTCGTGAATCTCTTCCATCTAGGCATTGCTGCCTGTATGTGTTGTGCTACGTCCTATCGTGACCCACAATGCTGTACTTAACATGCCTGTTCCTGGCTTTCTGCGACAGCGGGCACAGATGAACGGGAGGCACGACGAAGACATCAATCACGCGCTCTCCGAGGCCACTGCCAACGGCACGTAAGGGGCCGGCGGCATCTGCTTTTCGCCGGGAGCTTTGTCCTTGGCGCTCGGAGGAGAATCCACGCGGGGGCCGAGAAAAAACTGCCCGGTGTGTTGTCCCGAAGCCGTCCGAGATTCCAGCAATCCAGCCGCAGCATTCACATGCATCTTCATGAACCTGCCGTTGCGTTGCGTTGCGCAAGAATCAGAAGAATCTCGTGGCGTTTCTCGGTACAGTTTTGCATCATACTTCATTGCAATGACATTTCTCAGGATGGCACAGGGGGAAAAAAATTGATCTTGTTGTACATATTGATCCGCTAAAAACATGCGTGCATTCGCCGCGGCCTTGCACCTCTGTCCTCCGATGAGTGATGATGCTTAGTCGATGGCTGGAGCCTGAAGTGTGCAGGTTGGTGTTCCTTCGTGCCAACGCACTCATACTTTGTTTCATGCGGCGCTGAATAAGGTCTGAGCAGTCCACGAGACGGCACGTTAGGCGAAGCGACAGCGCGGAAAGCCCTGCACGCGCGTTCTGTTGCGTCGCGTATACGGCGGAGCTGGGACCGCGAGCAGGCGTCGAGCGGCGCATGTGGTGAGTTGTGGGAGTCGCTTGTGCCGTTGTGCGTGGTCTGTGGGAGCTGCGAAAGACGTGCCTCGAGCGCCATCGAGTGCGGCAGCGCGACTACCTGTTTCCTCGAATGAACTAATGGGAGCATCAAGATTCAGATGATTTTGGCTGTGACGCGTCCTGGGCAGCAATGAATATGTCAGCCTGTTTGTTTGTTGATTTCAGCTAGGGCTTATCAGCTAGCCAATAGTATTTTTCTCTCACAATAAACCAGCATCAGTCAAACTTATCAGCCCAGAAACCAACCTGTCCGGTACGGCTGTGCTGCAACCCAACTGTTCAGGCGACGATTAACCTCGTTGGCAGATATTACCGTGAGTGAAGTAGTGCTGCATTCAAGTCGTTGCATGGGACCAGCATAGGACCATGAGTCCACAGACAAAAAGAGAGAGAGAGAGACTAGGGTTTATTCGGTTGGTATTAAAGCCGGCTGATAAGTCAGTCTTGGCTGATTTGTTGTGAGTGAAAAATATTGTAGATTCTAGCTGATAAGCCGCCCTCAGTTGAGCCTTTCATATTTTGTTTATAACTGTTGAGCATTTCATTTGAGTCACAACGCAAGGACTGCATGGACTTCTCCAGTGAGGCTAGGACTCCGGATTGGGCTTAGGTTCGGGATTTGCGTTGGATTGAGTTGCTCTTAGGTACTTTTTGAAATAGGATTGAATGCTCCTATCCTAATTTTGGTGATGGGATTATTCTATTTCTTTTTTAGTTGAAAAGTGACGAAACCGTTTATGGCCCTGTTCGTTTAGCTGAAATTTGGCTGATGGTGATTTTTTTGAGAGAAAACATTGTTCATCCGCTGAAAAATACTGCTGAAAAAGACACATATGATGACATGGTGGCCCCACCTGTTAACCTATATCATATCTTTCTCTTCGTCCCCATGGCCAGACGTCGTTGCTGCTCAACTCCTCCTTATGCCTAGTCTCCTCCCCAGGCTCGTCCCAGACTTAAGTTTAACCTGAAGCGCTAGCTTTGTCACCAAGGCTCAAGATCCATTAAGGGTACCAATTCTCCACTTTGAACCGGCAGTCTCAAACCAAGCACACAATTAGGAGCCTCCCAACAAAAACTACACCTAGGTCACGTAGTCCTCCACCGAGACGTTTAGGAGCTAACAAACTCCACGAGTACCAAGTCTCCAACCTTCACTCGATCAAACTCTAATCCAAGAGCAAAAAGATGCACTCCTCATGACTTGAATTGTCCTCTCAAACCCTTCACAAAGCCTTCCATTATGTGTGTATGTGTTTGGGGTCGGAGAGAGCTCAAAATAAGCAGCGGAACACACATGTATACAGGTCATGGGTGAGCATCCAACTATTAGAAAAGGGCTACAAGAAAGCGCCACCAGATGTTCCACCAGGCTCTACTAAAGAGTACAGATAAATGATGCAAAGTTTCATCGTGCAAAATTTGAGGATGAAAAAAAAAGAAAATCAGGACACAATTGTGCGGGTTATGGATCGAGGTGCAACTGACCCAATTATATTATGACTATAATTCAAAGAAAAATCATATCATGGTAAATTTTTACATGAACAACTTGCGTCATCTATTCCATTCATATGTATTTTTCAAGCACTTTTTTTTGTGTTTTTCTTTAAATGGGACCAGAAAAGCGCCTCAGCATATGTTCTCTGTGCCAAGACAGAAAGATAGCACCCTCAAACTTGATATGGCCATATGGGTGCGCTCATGTGGATGTCTTCATCATCCTTCCAAAAGCGACAGGACCACCTTTTCGTTGGGAAAATCATCAAACAGAGAACCACGGAAACTATAGAAAGCTAGTCCTCTGATGAAGCGCAGTTAAGTGGAGGAGGAGTAGAGTTTGCAGGTACTTCAAGCGCACCCGCAAGTGTTACGATGTTGTTGTGATTTGTGAACTTTTCCAGTAACCACACGGAGTAGGAACTGGGAAGGCATGATCCTCGCGTGCTGTACGCACGTACCGCTGTACTACTAGATAGGATCCGAATCCCTGCAGCTCTGAAGAAAAACACATTGCGCTACGGTGGCACACGGTAGTCCCCTCTCAATGGTACTACACTTGAAATTCAAACACGTCCATGCGCACGTCCCTTGTTTAGATTGTAATTTTTTACGATCTGGATACTGTAGCATGTTTCGTTTGTATTTGATAAACTTTGTCTGATCATGGACTAACTAGGCTCAAAAAATTCGTCTCGTGATTTACAACCAAACTGTACAATTAGTTATTTTTTTACATACATTTAATGCTCCATACATACGTTCAAAAATTGATGTGATGAAAAAAGAGTGAAAAAACTTAGAATTTAGAGGTGATCTAAACAAGGCCGTAATTGCACTTCTTTTTTTGAAACATGCACGTAATTGCACTTGCAAGCCGCGTTTACCCGATCGTGCATTTATTATCGGGCCCGCAAGCGGGAACGTATCCCGTGAATAAGATAGATCAGGGTCCTGTTTGTTTAAACTTATCACCTGATTTATCAGCTAGAATCTACAATATTTTTCTCTCACAATAAATAGCTTCAGCCGGTTTACGTATGAGGCGAACAGAACCCGGGTCTTTTTAGGGCCGTGCAACTGTGTTCCTCTGCCTCTCTGCGACGCTGATAACTGCAGGCTCCCAGAATTCTGAGGCAGATCGAGCTCACTGCTCACTCAAGGAAGGGAAGGATCATGTCACTGCTCACCCTCTGCCTGCACTTCCCACCATGAAAGAAACCAAACCAAGAAGACAACATGAGAGAGGAGACGTCCTAATCCGCTGTGCACAGAAAAGCTCAGGAGGAGCACATCCGGCAAGCATCAGCGGAAAACGCAATACTGCACACAGAAGCGAGAGCATTTGACAACCTTTTCTTTATTACTTCCAGAGACATGCCTCAACGACAGTAACCAGCTCACCATTCACAAGGATTAGAAGCATCGGAACAAAGCGCGATCAGAGAGGAATCCTCACATGATCACACCAAATCAACACGCAGAACACCAAAACCGTTTGAAAGCTAGAAAATGACTAGTAGACTAACAACCCTCATCTCCACACACGATGATAACTAACACCAACCACGAAGCAACAGATCTTGTATTCCTTGCTTTCAACTACATCTAGTAGATTGGCAGAGAAACGCTCAATCATGCTCCCTTTCTTGCAGGATCATCGTCTCTGATCTTTATCTCTCTTTACCAACACAAAGGCATTCATCATAAATAAATGCACTATCATCATCATCCCCACCATGTACTCTTTCTTGTACCATCTTCAAACTTTTGCTTCAACCCAGCCTGTTGTTTCAGATTTGCTAGATCTTACCGACATGTTTGGGGTAATGGCTTTGGAGCTTTTTATTCAGGGCCATGTGCGGGATGAACTTAGCCAGGGACATTGAAGTGGAAGAGCCAAGAAATGACAAAGGCGAACACCATGCAAGCAAGAAGAAAGTTGAGGAACCGATGCCCTTGCCAGAACCTCCGGGTTTCAGCCTGTGGCACTTGCACAGGCGCTACGTTGTTTGTTTCACTCCACTGATCACTGAACTCTGGATCCCCCAAAACTACTACATTGGATGCAGTTGAGCTACATATCTCACAGATCCTATAGCAAAGAACAAGAGAAAAATTTAGTTCATATACACTATCGAATTGCATACAAATCATTAGTGCAGATAGCTTGTTCTCGAAGAAAAATATAAGAACTATAGCAGTACTTCAATTTTATTTTTCCTTCTCACAACAGAAGGCTAACAAATCGATGACCCTAAGCAAGTAAAAGAGAACAAGGTAGCAAACCTTGGCTTCATATCATGCAAGGGATTAAAAAGAAAAGACAATCAATGTGGCAACAAGTATAAGATCTGTACTCCTCTGAAAGGAAGGCTTAAGCCGCATTGCTTTGAAACAGATCTATGCTCCAAATGGATGCACCGACGAAAGTGTTTTATGTTCTACAAAACAGGCATAGCCATCTGTGCATGTATTATTTGGATGTTTGACTAATTTGCATGTGGTCAAATCAGAGCACAATTTTTTTGACAAAGTGGACTCAATATAGATTCAATATAGAAGTTGATTATAGACCAACTGTTGCATTTCTTTGCCTGTATATTGGATTAGTATAGTAATCATTCCAGTGAACTCTACGTATTTGACATCGTGTGATAAAAACAAATGTAGACAATGAAAAAGTGCTAGCTACCATAAGGTCCATTTACTTCTTTTTGTTGACACTGTTCCTGTCCTTAATTGCGATTGCTGATTCAAACTAAAACTACCAGTATGTGTTACAAGTTTGAACTAATAACAAAAAAAAAGAACATCCTACCTGTCTTAAGATATCTAATGTAGAGAGAAATTTAGCAGACAAACTGAATTTCTAGGGAAAACCCTTGTTG